TCTTGTTAACATTACTGAAGAGCATTGCTTGCTCGATAATTGGCCAAATAATGCAAACAGCTCAAACGGTGTGGAAAAGGAAACAACGCTTGATGCAATTCATAAGCATCAGCCACTGTGTGTGCTAGATAGCCTGAGAATAGAGAGGTGAAAAAAGAAGTGAAGCGAAAAAAAAGTGAAGCGCTTTTGAACTAACACTACAAACTAGTGAGAGATTTGCACTTGAATACAAAATAGCACACACACCCACACTTGATGGCATTAACAGAATGGAATGCAATGAAGCAAGTAGCTCAAATTTCCACTCACGATCTAACTTTCGTGAAAACATCGTGTTGTTTGAAATGGAGTCAAATTCAAATATGAGCTCACACACATTGTATCCGTTCGATGGTTGTGTGATCTTTTGGCAAAAGCAAGCGAGAATGAGACCACTCTCCCTTTTTCACTGTACAAATGCAATGTATAGCTATTTGAATGTACTTCGAGTCGATTACATGCAATGTGAGTGCATACCATGGCTAGTAACACCATGCTCTTTTGCCACTTATGTGTTTCGTACGTGTCTGAAAGCGAATGTGTTTCATGTATTTCATTTATTTTTAAGGTTTAGTCCGTCTCTCTCCAAAAAAATAAATGATTGTTGGATTGTATGTGTGTGTGTTTGCATTTGTTACAAACATACATTGTATGAACGCCGTAAAAAAACTACCGCTACCACAATGACATTGAATTTATTGAACCTCGGGCCAGCGTGTGTTGCACAGATGAAGCGAAAAAAATTATATCCGATTTGTGTACTGCATTCACAATGAAATTGCACCCGATTTGACGATAGAGGATTTCGCGATAAATCTTTGTCGCAAGAAGAAATCATGAACATACTTTTGCAATTTTATCCTTATTGGAATGTTTTCGCGACTTCTTTTAGATTTCGGGGACACTGATTTCTGTCATTTATCATCCAGAACGAGATGAAAATCATGGAACATGCTGCCATTATGCCTGCAGCTTTATTCTCACACCCAACTATTCGCAAAAAAAATATGACTGCTTTTCACACTTCGTTCACCATGTTATCTATAACATCCTTCAACCGTTTAACGTTTTTTTCCAATTTCACTGTCGCTGTCTTGTCTTAAACACAAAATTTACTTTACAGTTTGCATCTAATCTAAAACGATGCCACTCCCTTTTTCTCGTGCTCATTAATAATTAGTTCTGTCTTTTCTGTGCCGTATTTTTGTGACATAATTTCTTCAATTAATTTCAATGAGTGTTTCAACACAAACAAAACTGAAATGCCAGCTACCCAAAAAAAAAATGGCCATAGCGTGTAAGAGTGATAAAAAGATACGCAAAGATGCAAGTGAAAAAAAATGGTGGGAAAAAGAGACAGTTGCTCTGGAACATGTACGTACCAAAATCCCAAAAGAGATAAATGAAATTGTACGACATTTACTGAGTACACACCGAAAAAAGGAGAGGCAAACAAAAAAATCTTCATGACCACTGGAAAAAAACTATATATTCACAAAATCGCGTTAAGTGAATTACAGCTGCTGCAATGCTTATTATTGAAGTGTAGCGCATCCCAGCAACATTGTGAACATGACATGACAATTTCCGACGTTGTTGCCGTTTTCGATGCGCGCATGAATGTGACTTTTATTATTAATATTTGCACGAACATGTAAAAAACAGTGCTCATGCTGATGCTGAGCTCTTGTGATGATGCACAAAAAGAATGTACGGTAACAAAAGAGAAACGACTAAAATGCTCTTAAGTTTTTTACGCTCAGTTTCGTTCGTTTGTAAAACTAGTTTTATCTCTAAGGCGAGTTTGGCCATTTGCTAACATACCACACACACAAAGTAAAAGCCCGGAGACTGGACGATGTGAAAACTTGTTAAAATCTCTTGAAATGAAATTTTTCCATTTCGATGCACATGCTTGGCTCCATGGCTAACTATATTGGAATAGTTGAGGTTTTTAATTGACCACATTGCCTATAGCTTTATCTCTCTTGGTTCATGGCAATATACATAGAAAGATAATCCTTCCAAAATAATTTTCCAACAGAGAAAACTATTACCATTTTAATTATTATATGAATATTATTTTTTAATTGGTTTATACAGTTATACGATTTTTTTTTGAAGCAATTCATTTTACTAAACAATTATGCAACCATGTGTTCTGGCATTCAATTTACATCGGATTAATTTTCAATCAGATCCAATGAGCAAAATTAAAATCTCTTCTGGTACAAAGGATGCATTCTCATAATCTATGTTGTGTGACATATTCAGCTGCATATCGGTGGTTATGTTATGGTTTTAATCGGTGCAACTCAATTTTTTCAATTGAAAAAGTTGACTTTCGATAAAGTAACGTATCATAATGACAATGTTCCGTGGAAAATTGCGTATGCCACTCCCGAGTAATTCGAACCCATAACATAAGTTCAAAACGAAAAGCGGATATGTCATGCAATTAAAATGTGCTTATGTCTATCATACCAGCATTATTACAATTTTCTATAATGTTACAGTTTTCTGTGATGTTTTCATACAGAGTTGGTGTAAGATTTTTCCTAGTAATTATGTGTCTAAAGCAGAGTAATTATAGGATATGTAATGGCATTAAAAGCATTAAACGCAATATGTTTATTAAAAATGTTTTCCATCGTCTCACTAAGAGCTTTAAAATTGACCTATACGCATCCACCAAAGTGCTTTTCGTCAAGGTAAACACTACATTCGATGATATATAATGCTTCTCCAAAAATAGATGTTGAAATATATGTGAAATATCTGCTGGTTTTGATATCAACAAAAACCTTCAACACTCTTATGGTTTACTTATTTACTTTCCACTTTGAAAAGCAAGGTTTCAAGCTTTGCTTTTTATTTTATTTTTTTACTTCATAATATCATTGCTTTCAAGAAAGTCAATGAAAAAAAATCCTATAGGGTTGTATACACATGCACATAGCCGAAGTGAAGCGAAAAAGTAAATTCGTTGGATATAAAAATGCACGAAGAAAATGAAAAGTTTTCGATTATCGATTGTATGTGTTTTAGTCATCAATATCATCAACTTGTTCGGTGAAACCACATAGATCACCTGAACACACAATATTCCCTCTCCCCCGCAGCCGAGCACCACAGTAAACGGTGTATTCCAATGTGTATAACTGATTTTGACAATGTCGTCACATTCATCAGACGCCTATGATGCATCGTCGTTATTCTTCGGAAGTTTGGCAAATCAAGCTTCTTTTAAATAATCTCTGCTTATTATGATGGTTTCGATTTACTGTCGCACAATCTGCTTATCGCTATGACATTTCCCACTTTGATTGAACGTCACGTTTAAAATAACTTTTAGCGCGCGTCTTTTGTGATCAGAGCACATTTTATTTTTATCCAAAATTTGCATTCGAAAGATAAATAAGCCACGATGTTTGTGTGTGTAATCATCAAAGGCAGGGCTGATATTAGCATGATATTATGGCTCATGATCGGCTCTTTGAAACATTTAAAAACGAAAACTACGTGATAAAGAGGTTGACAAACTCCCACGATTTTTCGTTTATACGCAATCCGCACAACTTTTCGACAGTGAGATGACACTGTTGTTATGTGAGTAGAAATCGTTGTATCAAGCAGGAATTTCATAAATGGATATTCAGCTTTGGGGACTCACCTTATCACGTCTTTTTGTGTCTCTCTTATGCTATTCTTTTCTTTTACCGCTTTTTTTCTCTTCTGCGGCTGTGTATGTATGTCAAACTCAATCTCATGCACTTTAATAGCTCCCGTTGTGCAATTTCAGTGTTGTGGCTTTTAAAATATAAGTTTGGAAAAATAGCACGTACCAACCCGAAACTGCTTGAACATTCCCGAAAAATGACGGAAAGTGCTTTCAGTTGTCGCTCTGTTTGTTTGTTTGTTTAATCGTTTTATTTTGAAGAGAAAACAAACTTGTGACATGCTTGAACAAGTCACGGTACAGTGCGTGAAATGGAAAAAAAATCCAACTATTTAAAGTCACAACTAGAGGTACAACGAATGAAAACAAAAAATTGTAGAAACAACAACGACGATGACAATAACAAGTAATGACAAGCTCGAGTGACAACGGCTTGAGGTCTATGTTGTGATTATTGTAAGCAATTCCCTTCTATCTATTTCAAACTAACAAAAAACTAAGAGCACATTTGTGCATACGTGAGAAAAGCAAAGTGTTAGTGCTTCGACGAACAAGGAACGCCTGTTTCAGTTACAAAATTTATAAACATCGTTTAAAAAGATATTCCCTCGTCGCATTCAAGAGTTCAACATTTCATTCGGATATATGTGTATGTGTGTCTGGGTGTGTGTTTCTTTTGTTTCTTGATTTCTTTGCAAAATGGAGTTTGAATTTTTTCCCTTTTTTCATACGCAATACTGTTGCTACTACTATTCTCCACCATTTGATAATGCTTGTTACGTGATCATAGCACAATATTACAATTTAAGGGCGCTTATTTTGTGCCAGACATTTCGTGCTATTCATTCTCACCATTCCGTTGTTTTGCCCTCTTTTGTTTCGTTTCGAAATTTTTACTCGAAAGTAACGCTTCGCATTTACTATGGATATATTTTTACAAGTAAAACTTGTTACTGTTTACGATAAATTTGTTGATTTATTTTTCACTTCGGAAACTTTTATTGCACGGTTTGTTCGCATTTTGTTTGTTCTTTTTCTCGGGTCTATTTGAAACGAAGAAGACAAATTGAATTCAATTTATATTTGCGCCGTCATCAGTCGAAAAAAAAACAAATAAAGAAATAAAATGCAAAAGCTAAGAATGGAGACAAAACAAGAAATGTGTGTATGACGCTTGAACTCGAGATTATTTTGTATTCCCCCGTTCAAAATAAATCGCAAGGGACTTTTGAGCTGTGCAAAATTAATAGCGAATATTTTCTTTATTTTCCTTCATTTTTAGGCTATTTTCCATTGGAATCCGTGCATTGTTTGGTGTGGATGTGTTTGGATGTGCTATTTTGTACGGCCAGCATAATGCATTTGTGCACAATATCTATCGATCGATATCTGTCACTGCGATATCCCATGCGTTTTGGACGAAATAAAACGCGCAAACGTGTCACCTTAAAAATTATATTCGTTTGGATTTTATCGATTGCCATGAGCTTACCGCTGTGTTTGATGTATTCAAAAGTAAGTATAATTCAAACGTTATCATGACGGCATCTCGATAATAATGTTGAAAAATGAATGGGTTTTTATTTAATTCTTTCCAAAATAATCACACAAAAAATAGGATCATGCATCAGTATTAGTTGATGGAACGTGCCAAATACCAGATCCAGTGTATAAATTGGTCGGATCGATTGTTTGTTTTTATATTCCGCTGGGAGTGATGCTGATAACATATTGCTTAACGGTTCGTTTATTGGCGAGGCAACAGCAAAGCCTGTGCGGAGGTGGTCCGGCCACAGGTGGTACCAGCACAACAACTAATGGCAATCAACCGAATGGATGGGGAAGCGGATGGTTAGGTCAACAAAATCTCGGTAAGAACTTTCGCCCCCTTCCCCATCGAAATTTTTATTGAAAAAGAAAAATCGTACAAAGAACCTTGTACACTGAGTGAAACGTCTATATAACTCAAATGTAGATTTCAATGCGAGTGCGAGATGCAAACACATAAAAGGCTCACTTTTTATACAAACTTCTATGATTTTCTTTAAGAAAGAATAAAAAATTTCTTCATCAACAAAGTTGATCTTTCATTTAATTAAATATTTATTTTTGCAAAACAAAAAAACCAACAACAACAACTGCAAATTCCCAGAACGAAGGTGTACATGGCGGCGCTTACTGAAAACCAGTTTACCATCAACGCCAAATCATCCACATTCAGCCCATTCAACGGATACCGAGCTTTCGAACTTAGACACGCATGAATTATGGTTGCCAGACTCAAGGTAAACACCATTTTATGGTTGTTTTTTTTTTTCTTCACATATAAAATCTGTTATTTTACATTAAAAATTCTTCAATATTAACATTCGCATTCTTTTCATTGACGGAATTGAGTAAAATTTCATTGAAAGTCTGTGTTTACGTTAATAAATTTCAGAGTGATTAAATTTGAAAGAATTCCATCAATTCGATTTCAATTTGAGAAAGAAAAACATTTAATTAATTGTCTATTTGTACAGCATTCCAGAGCCGACACCATCAACAATGACAGCATTGCATCAATTTGGTGCTGAAATGTTGAAGCTTTCGCGTGGGTTAGATGCCGCTTCATCAATGGTGGTACCCATTCCGGCCAGCACATCGACCACATGTGTTAGTGTTGATAATGCAACCACCGAACATAGAATGCAACAAAAGCCATTATTATCGAGTCAAGAGCTACAACCTTCCAAACTAAATCGCGAACGAAATCGGTAAGTGAATGTATATTTCATATTTCGTATAAAATGAAACACGTTCCGAAGGCCAAACCGATGGAATTGCTTGAAAATGACATTCTGATTTCATTTCCTGTGGACATTCGATTTTCGTTTGATTTCGAATTGAATGCAAAGTCCTTGGACGGTGCGACATGCTGGTTAAGTTGCCTGTAAAGACAGCGTGTCTTGTGTGCATCAAAGCGAATAATGCAATGTGAGAATCGCATTTCAGTCAAAGCAAACACCGCTTTGTGCTATAATACGTGCCTTTACGATGTTTAAGCGTCAATACGAACACGATTGCTAAATAGGATTTTCTGCATTCATTTTCCACATTTATATTTCTTTGACAATGCATCGTCACAGCAAAGATGAGATATAAATTCTACACCTTCTTTTTTGCTTCGCGCAAATAAACACGAAAATCATTTCCATTTAAGAGAAAATCACGCAGAAAAACTAGGCTGCAAGTTCGTTCGCATATCCGTGATCTTCATTGCGAAGACGTGGATCATACCGTACGGGTATTGAGCCAAATGAATTTGGAACGCGATGATTAAACGAAGTCAAACGAATGCGCACATTCACACATAGTCAGTGACACAAAAAAAAATACATTGATTTATCATTAATCCATGTGATTTCATCGTGCGTTTCTCTTCAGCTTCTTCTTTTTGTTTGCATTTACTGCATAATTCATTTTGTAGCCCCTTTGCACTATCATATCGCTGACTCAGTCAAATGAAATACGTTTGATCCCGTTTGAGTATGTGTTTGTTGCACAATTTTCATTCGGATCATTGCACAAAAGAGTAAACCGGCAGCCAGTCAACTGTCGTGCATTTTCTAATTAACATATTAACAGTCCATGGAAAATCAATGCATACATAGATAGATGTTCAAAGAAAACTTTTTTTTTGGTATAAAGACATATCATTTTGAATCGATGCTGAGTTTTAACATGTCAATCGAATTTGAGTTACGATTTATAAGCATACCAAAATCGAATCCTCGGGAGAATTGTATTCAAGCTATAATGTTGGTTTTAAGATCAAATTTCAGTTTAACATCATTCATCTGATTTGTATTCGAATTGAAATGATGATTCATTGCATTGAAAACATGAAAAATTGTCTGCACACAATTCCCAAACTGCCGACCGTACAATTTATCATTGTGCAACTCAAAGTGTAGGTCTTACTAAAACTTTTTTTTTTTGCTGTTCAAACACATGTTTTCGTCCTAGTTTTACAGCGATTTGCTATTTTTCCTGCCTTTCTCTGTTTGCGTCATTTTCTTGTTCGCCAAAGAACTTAATACGTATCTTTTTTGCGCTCGTTTGTTTCGAATAATCTGATGATTTCGTGATCGAAAAAAAAAATCCATTTGAAAAGCCGTTTTAAAAGTTTTCGTTGGTAGCCCCAATGGAGTTTTATATCAAATATTTAGAAATTAGGAAATCACAAAAACCGTATAAAGATGTTTCTTTTTGTATTAATATTGCTATTTCCCAATATGATATGTTTTATAAAATTGTAAGAAATTTTTTTCTATCTCGGTAAAGAAGAAATAAACGAAATAAACAATGGACCGATGTTTCTCTCATGCACACAAACAAACAAACGAAAAATAAATATTAAAGTTCAGGAAGAAGAGAAATCATTTATCGTAGTATGTTTTGAAAATTGTGGTTGATGCTCGCGGAAATGACCAATCTATTGAGAGATAGAGCATCGAAGAAGAAAAAAGTGAAAAAAGCGTTTGCACAAATTTGCGAGCAAAAACAGAAAAAAAATTGCTTGCTGAAAGACAAGCGAATGAGGCGAAGGTCGAGCAGAATAAACAATTTGGAATAAATTTTACGGATAAAAACCAGTATATATTGTTTAAAATGTATAGTTGAGCGAGTGTATGCATTGAAAAAAAAACTCCGAAGATTGATACATTGGAACATGGCAAAAGTATGTGAAAATCAGCAACATCAAGCAAACCGACATACACGCAAAAACTAAGAGCGAAAAAACAGACATGAACATGGTCGTGCTTTCGCATGAGAATCGCTATTATTTGTTTTCCGTTGCCTTGCATGATCAAATCCGGTTCATTTTGGGGTTGTACCTTTTTTTCGATGTGCGCACTTTTGTCAATTTCCAACTTTAATGCATCGTAATATCCTTCGTTCGTATTTCTTGCTCGGCAGACAATATCACAAGTGAGCCAGTGTGTGTCTGCATTTTGGTGTCATGCATTCACTACGATCCTTACAATCGCCACGTGAATGTATTTATCGCAAGTGGTACTCAATAAAAATGGGTGTCGATTCACTTCAATGGAAATTGCGGTTGCATTTTGGCCAATTTCAAAAAATGAGAACACGTAAGAACAATTCTGTTTTATCCTTGAAAAATATCCAGTTTCCAAACCGAATTTACGTATGCGCGTGTTGTATGTTCCAGAGGTGCATTCATTTCTCTCATATGAAAGACAACACAAGCGATACGAAACTTTTACGCTTACCGAATTAAATTCGTAACAGACAAAATCACATCAGAACTCACACAAGCGAAATAATACTCTTTGATTTAAGTTTTGGTTATGTCGGTATATAACAGAGAAAACGATTGAAATAACACGAAATGAATTCCGATGCAAATGCCAGCAAAATTGGGACAAAAAGAACGGGGAAAGAGTACTATAGATTTTGCGGGTTGCACACAAATGAATTTTCCTTGTACGAAAAAAATGTTGAATGACAAACTATGTACGCTTCTCGCTTACATTTCACAAAAGTTTTCGATTACATTTGTTATTTCTTGCAAGTTTTTTCTTCTCCTCATAATATAGTGTTTTTTTCCGCATTTGAGCAAAGCTCTGTATGTACAACTATTCATAAGGTTTACAACAAGCGGGAACAGAGAGAAAGCGTTTGCCAATGAGATTATGTCACGGCTCAAGAGATTTGAAATATCATTTTGGTTTCAATGTAAATCTTTGCAATATATATAATATATACTATTATTTCGTTTCTTTTTGCTAAAGAATTTTTAACATTCTTTAAACTCAACTCTGATTCATCTATTGCGTCGTCTTGCCCATTGATCGAAGATAGAAAAAAGTTTTGGTCAGCAATTTTATTAATTCACAGTTTTGATCTTGAAAAATACGAAACGAAAAAATTCTCACATGACACCTTAAATCGGGTGAAGGGAAGAGGGCAAGAAAGCAGCAAAAGACGCATTAACATCCCGACAATTATATATATTTATTCAGAAAATGGCTGAATGTGCATAATAAGGTGAATAAATTTATTCAAACTGTCTTAGAATGTACCCCAATAATACGTGCAATGTATAGGACAAAATGAAAATAAGAAGTGCTTAAAATGTGTCGTCAGAATGCTGAGTTTGATGAAATATTTTTAGTAATGTTTTTCTTCTTTCGGGGTTTTTCTCTTTTATATTTTCAAATTCGAGTATTCCGAAATTCTGGATCTGTTTTCATCCAAATATGTTCATTTTTGTGGCGATATTTTCGCATAATTTTGCCTTAATTCAGTCATGTGGCATGGAACGGATATTTGAATGCATAAAAAAAGAATACACTTAAATGTGGTTACCATATTAAAATTTATCCACGGAGAGCAAACCGAATAAAAAAAGAACCTTTCATTTCAAGAATAAAGCTCTTTTGGGTTGTTAGTTCATTTTACAACAACAACAACAACAAAAAACTGTAGACAGCGATGGTTTTATGTATAGCAGTGTGGCTTGTGTTCCACTTCAGCGTACACCAATAGAATGGCTTTCGATTGGAGAAACCACACTCGAACGTTTTTCGATTCGAAATGTACAAGCTGAAAAGTGGTTGGATGAAGAAGTCTCGCGCATGAAGTGGATTAAATTTAAACATATATGTGACAACATTTCATTATTTCCACTTAAATGTTCCGCTCATGTTTCAATCCAACATTTCCGATGCACATATTGAATTTAATCAAAAGCAAACCGATTTAAATTGAGACATATAACTCTCTTTCTATCCCACACACACTCTTACAGACTGTCATTTTCTCTTCCCTCCCCTCCACCATGTTCGATTATCATTTCTAAAGCAAGTTTCCCTCACTCGTTTTTCATTTGCCCCAAAATGGCATACATGAAACCTTTTACAAGTTTGAATGATGATTTAGCATAAAAATGAGACATTTTCACTTCAGACAACACATTCTCCGATTTATTTCGTTTTGTGAGGATAAAAAACAGCGTGTGCGCTTGTATGGTACTTTGAAAGTGAAAGTGACGAAATGGAAACAAATTATAGAGAATTCAAAAATGTCGATTGTACGTATTCAAATGCGAAGTGCTGCTTCTGCTACAGACGACCTCATTCAAATGGATTAATTCGAATCTTATCATTTTTTTTTTTGTTTGTTTGTTCGGGCATCGAGACAAAAGCAGTGCATTGCATTTGCCAGAGGCAATATTCACGCCAATTAGATAAATAGTCTGTTCATCAGATGATCGAGAACATTGTACAAAAGAAAATCGACTAATTTCAATGTTGGCTGCATAAAATTCTATTTTCAATGTGACCATTGAACCCAGTACATGTGTTCAATTCAACATTCTTTGCATGTAATCCATTTCTCTGAAATGATTTAAATTTTAGCTCTGTGCATTTCGCTGATGAAATAGATGAACCGAAATTGATTGTCGAAACACAACCCATTTTCAGTGAATGGCCAAATGAATACTCATTCGATACACTTCGAATAATTGGGGCTTTTATCATTTGCAACAATGATCACTAAGAGAGGTTGATTCAATTTGGTGTAGCACATTGAGATGTATCAAAGTTTTCTAGTCGATGCAATAATTATCAGAGGCACGTAGCCGCTCTCGTTTGTACACAATACAATCAAATCAAATGATTCGAATGCTATACCATCGACACTTCGAACACATTTGATGTGAATGCACAAGATTCATCACTTC